GGAACACGAATCTTCATGCTTCCTAGACACACAATACATTTTCACTTCTTGGAATTTAACTGGTGTTCTAGTTCTCAGGCCTTGTCTTTCTTTATGCTAAAAAATTAGAAGCTGTTTTTAATAATTGTATAATATCCATGTGAAATTTACTTGCAATTCTACCCCAAGTAGATGTTGTCTTTTGATAGCATTCTTTCTGAAATCATGGTTGGTGCTCTATTAATACTTATTGGTCATTGATTGTTTCTTTTGAAAGGACCACATAACAGATATTAAAGGGGAGGGGAAACAGAATATAGAGATAACTCTTTCTTTAAATGGCTGCATTCTGCTTTTGCGTAATAGGAATCTAGACAAATTTTTGCTATGCAAAGTTCTTTGGAGTCAGCTGATGTGTGCCATTCAGTATTCTATTATGGAAGAATACATTGCCTTCACCTGTCTATAGAGTCCTCAAAGTGGGTGTTGGAAACAAGAATGTAGCCCAGATATACCAAAGGTGCTATTTTCCCCTTATTTTTCAACTAGCTATTAGTGCAATACAACTGAATTCCTGGGGTTACCTCACTCTGTAGTTCTTTGTGCAAAACCAGGCTTTGTACTGGGTAGGTACCATTTGTACAGTATCTTGCTGAGCACCATCTCCAGATTTCAGGAATGTATGAGCTCTGATAGTCCAGTGCTTATTTTGGGGTTCCCTATTTCCTTATTTTTCAGCAAGTTATTGATCAGCAAAATCCAAAAGGATTCCTGAGGCCACCCCACTTTTTTTTGGTGTTTTGTGCATTTTTTGTGTGTGCACGCCTGTGCCTGGAAGTCATGGCATCCTCTGGTGACTCCTACTGGGGCATGGAGGACATTCAGAGAAGTGGCTTAATAGCCTGCCTCTGCCTCCCGACCCTGGTATTCTTTGGAGGTCTCCCATCCAAATACTTGCCAGGGTTGGTCCTGTTTAGCTTCCAAGATCTGATGAGATCAGGCTTGCCTGGGCTATACAGAGCAGAGCTAGGGCACTGCACTTTGGAGTGTTCCAGGGGGGGAAAACAGGCTTGGGATCGGACACTATATGGCATCTTTAAGGACACATTTTTCTCATTTCAGGGATGTAAGAGATGAAATGGTTCTTATTTTGGGGGTATTCTGTTGATTAAGTATCAGTATTTATGATCAGACTGGAGACTAGAAACCAGGACATGCAAATCTGGAACTAGAAACCAATTTAGGGTTCATAATGTGAGAGGGGATCCACGTTTTTGCTACTGTTATGCCTAATCTGAGATTAATGCATACCTTAGTGTGTGTAAATAAAACTGCAGCCTTTGAGTGAGTCCTTTGTCTTCATGCCCAAATATAAATTACAGCTGCCAACTCTGGGATGGGAAATTCTTGGAGATTTTGGGGTGGAGCCTGGGGAGGGGAAGGTCATCAATGGGGTATAATACCATAAAGTCCATCCACCAAAGCATTTATTTTCTCCCAGGGAACTGATCTCTGTAGTCTGGAGATCATTTGTATTTCTGGGAGGCAAGCCTAAAATATAGATCCACACACTTTCGGTTAGTTTAGTATAAGAAGCTCTCGCTAAATCTGGAGCCACGCTCATTAAATGAGAATCCGTGCTTTATCCCTCATCTTACAATGGAAACGCAAAAAAGTCAACAAGAAAGCAGGCATTCTTCCAGCCCAACTCAGATCAACTAAGAGAGGGAGAAAAAGAGCTCAGATCTGTCTATCAGCCAATCTACTCTACTGCAGTTAGAACGCGAAGAGACAGGTGCAAAAACCACGGCGCGGTCTAATTAGCTTCACCACCACCCCCGCCTCCTTCATTCCGCAGCCCTCCAGCCACGCCCACCGCGCCGGCGTGCAGCGGCAGCAAGGGAGGATCCCGCAAGGTTCGACGTGCGCCAGTTCCAGCGTCTCTTCTCGCTCACTGATTGGCTCTCTCTTTTCCCCGCCTTTCGGGGAGAGGCTATGATGGTTGCCCTGGAAGCGCGAGGCCACAATGGCTGCTGCTTCTGGGGGCAGCGGGAGGCTGAAGGGCGAAGAGGTAAGTAAGGGAAGGCAAGAAGCTCTCGCACCTACGCCTGCCCCTGGCGGGGATCCTGGGTCAGTGTTTTTCTTTTGCCAGTTTCCAGTAAAAGGGAAACAACGACTCACCTACACGTAGTGATCTCTTCCTCCAAATGTCCCCGTTTCATCAGCGGCATCACAACTCTCGTTTATTTTTTATATTTGTACATCGAAGACACCTTAGACGCTGTAGAGAAATAAAATAAGTCATCGAGGAGGGGATAAGGAAACCTTTTATGAGCTGGGTAAGGCTAAAAGGGAGAGGGAAAATTAGACACATATTTTAATAATTAAAGGGATTTTTTTTTAAGGCCAGAGGAGAATGCACCCACTATTAGTGATTATGTCTGGGACAAAGGAACTCCTGGTTCATGTGTTTTATTTCATGTACTGACATTAGGGATGCCAGCCTCCAGGTTACAGCTCAGCTCCTGGCTACAGAGATGAGTTTTCCTGAATTAAATGGATTCCTAGGAAGGTGAACTCTACAGCATTGTACCTCACTGAAGTCCCTGCCCTCCCCAGGCCACATCTCCAAACCTTCAGGATTTTCTGGCAACCCTTACCCCACCCATTCCCCACTGGTGGCCAGGGGGACCTGGCAACCCTAATTGACATGTGAACAGTTCATAAGTTAAGGGGCCTTCCTGCCGTTCAGAAAGCTTTGGTATCATGTGCAGACAAGAGTCCATGTGGTCTTTGTGCAAGTGATTGAGAACCTGGCAAATGCATGGCTATGACTACGTGTACGTGACTTACATTAAGCACTCATCAGGATGGGTGAGCACAGTCAGTCATACTCCGTATTGCATGTGTACACTCTGTCAGCATAGTAATGTGTGAACTTTTCTACAGCTGCAAATCAGTCCACGCCCAATTTGTTTTACAAAGTGAATCACCCTCTGCCAGTGTCAACATCACTGAACAGTTAAGACTCTCTTAACTCATATTCTTCATATCTCAGCAACAGAAATTTTCTTCCTGTTTTTTGACCCTGGACCCTAACAAGGGGGGAGCGCTAGCAGGCACCTTCCAATCCTCTCTTTTCCCACCACCACGTCCTAAATGGAAAAGGGAGATTTAAACTGCAACATACACACTTCTTCTACTCCAGACCAGTAACGTTTAATTATTTTTTAAACGTTCAAGTAGTTTGCTGCCTTTGTAGGTTTTTTATTCCCATTTTACAGACTGGGAACTGTCTTGAAGTAGAGACAGAAAGTAGATTAAGAGCTATACAGTGAGGGTATAGCAGACTTGACCTTTTGAACCAAACCTTTCCAATACAAGACCACCTCTGCAACCCTGGACCATTCAGCCACTCACCATTTGTTGTTGCTGCTGTCAAGTTACAGTTGACTTATGGCAATCCTGTGGTGTTTTCAAGGCAAGATACATTCACAGGTGGTTTGCCATTGCTTGCCTCCTTGTCACGACCCTGGTATTCCTTGGTGGTCTGCCATCCAAATACTAGCCGGAGCCGACCCTGCTTAGTATCCGAGATATGACGAGATTAGGCTAGCCTGGGTGATCCGGTCAGGGCTAAATTCTTTTAATTTATCTTGAGTGATTTATCTAAATCATTCAGTGGATTGCCTTTTCCAAATGCATTGTCAACACAAGTAGCAAGAGTTGAAAACTCCAATGCTTTCGTTATCATTTAGCCACTTGTATTATGAATACATCAGGAACTTTAAAGGTTAAGGGGCTCCAAACCCACATTTATTGAAAATATCTGGGTCTCTTGTAACTGCAAAGCAAGAATTATGATTTTTCTGAATTAAAACCAGATTAAAGGTGGTGTTGTGGTATCATTTCTGTCCTTTTCATGTAAGTTTTCAAGGCAGCTTATTACAGTACTTTTTAAAACAGTAATAAAAAAATAACAATGAAACAGAAGCAGAAGCAATAACAGATGACAAGCATCAATCAGGAGAAAGACGGTATGAATTTATTTCATGCCTAAAAAGCCACAAACAATATCACCCCAACAGTTCTTTTTGGGAGAGCATTTCAAAAGTGTGGTGCAACAGAGAAGGTCATATATTAAGATGATACCTTCTTAGTATATGAAGTTGGGGGCATCCAGAGCAAGGCTTTGATGATGATGATGGTGATGATGAGAGTGAACAGACAGGTTCACATGGAAGAAACTGGTCCCAAACTGGTTTGGATTTATTTTATACTTGCAGGAAAAATATCTTCACCCCTGACATGAATACTGCAGAATGAAGGGACCAAAGTCAGCAACATCTCTAACAAATCATTCTAGAGAATCTCCATTTACAACTTAGTATGGATAAATGAGAGCCATGGATTTCCACTTAAGAATGTAGGAGAAATTTACAAACACAGAAGCTGATTCACTCCCACACACTTCAGTGGCATACAAGAAGAAAAAGTGTACATATCCTTGTCCCAGTCAAAAATGGCCTCTCTCATGAGCCTACTGAACAAGCAGCTTGATTCTATATTGAATTAAGTTAGGTAAGCTTAACAATAGAATTGTAATTATGGTATGATTGTAAAACATCCAGTAACATTTTATAACATAGTCCTCATCCCAAGAGTGCTAAACTATCTTAGGAATTCATTCTGTTGGTTTTACAGAAAGAGAAACTGTGAAGCAAACATTCTAGAACTTAGTTTAAGGAACTATGTCTTATGTCTTTATTGGTTCTGCCAGATGTTGAAAGGACGTATGTGTAAGTGAGACTATGAGGAAAGAGAACAGCTTTTTAAAAAATGAAAATAATAGTGGATTGTCCTTCAGTGAAAGTGATAAGATCACTAAAAGAGATCCCTTCATCCTAAACTTACCACAGATAGTTTTATCCTGACTACAAATACAATTTTATCTGAATATTCTCTGGGTTTTGACAGCTCAGATTCAAATATGTTTATGAAAAATGTCTGAGTAGTTCATAATGACAAAGAATCATGAGGTAAGTTGGACAGTTATACTTTGCTGTCAGAAGTTTAGACAGAAAAGTTCCGGCTTCACACTTAGGGGTTATGAGTTAGTCTTTGGTGACTCCACAGTAAAATTGTGCCAATGTAAACGCATGTTCAAACACCAGTAGTTGATTCATTAACTTGAAAAGACTAGAATATTTGTAGCCATATGATTACAGACAAAAGTTTGAATATGTGACATGTAGGAGTGAAGCTTTTTCAAAATCTTACCCCTTTAGGCTGGCCAATCATCGAAGCAAAGAATTAATAGCTGAGAGCTAGATGAGCAATTCTCATATCTTGGTTTCTTTCCCCATCTTCTGGGAGCCTGTTCTGCCTGAGGACATTGAGTGTTTGTCTTTCCCACAAAAATGTACTCATGTATGTACCGAAGTTAAATGAATGTAATAGCTGTAGATATATTTAGAAACACTAAGAAACAAATCCCGTGTTTTCACTATCTATTTCTATATATAATAATATAATTTGTTTGATTATAGGTATAATTGTCTGTCGATCTATTTTTCAGGTTTTAAAAAATCAGTTGAAGATATGTGGCTTTAAGAAAGATAATGATGTCACAGAGTTGTATCTGGGAGAAAGGTAATTCATTTTGCTGCTACAAGGGAAGATTGTTTGAAAGATCCATATCACAAAGCCTGAAGTAACACTTTTAGAATGAGTCAACTGAGAAGACTCATTCAGTCATGAACAACAGATTCATTTTTACCGTTCTGGAAACCAGAATACTCTTTTGCTTCAAGTTATTAGAAGTCTCACATTCATTTTTCATTTTATGAATTTAGCACAGTTCTTAAGACTCAGCAAAGTCCTAATATAAAAATTGTTCAAAATATTGTAATATAAAATCATCCTACCTAGCAAATTAGTTCATACAGTGTCAAATTATATAGCAACTGCTGCATATAGAACATTGCATGCAACTAATTTTGAAGCTGGGTCATCTTGAGAAGGGTGTGCAGTAGGTTCTTAAGCTCCTTTTCTCCATGTTCTTAAACTGACCCATAAGTCCCCCCCATGCCATCACATTATTAGGATCTCCCCCCCCCACCACCCTACACAGAGTTTCACCCTTCTAAATCCATAGAAATCATTGCCTTACAAGAGCATAACTCTGTTTTGGATAGCACTGACAGTCTCCCTTTTTACATTCTTGGTTCTGAAAAGTGAGGGTAAAATCAGACATGATATATTGCTTAACAACAGTGCTGTATGCCCTTACTTTGTTTTAACGTAGCCTGGAAGCAGTGAAAATATTGAACCCATTGTCTGTGGTTTTACCAGGATGGCAGAAAGATGGTAGAAAGATGGAGAACATCACATGCAACTAATTTTGTGGCTGAGTCATTTTGAGAAGTGGAGTAGGTTCTTAAGTTTCCTTTCATTGCATTCTTAAACTGGCCAGCAAGTCCTTTCTTCTACCCACCCCCGTCCTGTAGGAGGTGCCAGGCAAGGTCCCAATTTATCTTGTTTGTGATTTATGGTTGCCCTTCCCCAGCTGGACAGCGGGGGCAAACACCATTTCACAGTGACACTCTTGTTTTTGGCCAAAACTCTATGATTTGGCCAAAACTCTATGATTTGAGGCTGATTTTACCATAGAGTTTTGTCTAAAAACAAGAGCATTGCCGTGCGATGTCCCCAATGTGCTGACATCACTTCCATGTGATATCAGCACATGGCAGCGCTCCGCCCCCACTCCCAGAAGGTTCCCTTCCACCCCCCACCAGCACAGCATTCAGACCTGGCAACCCTATTGTGGTTACCAAGAACAGCCCAGTCCTACACAGATCTGTGCACATAAGGACTCACTGATGCATACCATTGGGTAGGATCACCCTGTAAGCTTTTCTCTGTCTTGCCTCCTCGTTTGTACTGCCTAACTTTGGCAAGTGTAGAGGAAAATTGGCTGCCATATGCCAGATTTGGCCTTGGAAATACTGGTTGCCAACCCCTAGCTGACCTGATTAGATTGGTGGCTTAGACCAAACACTTCCCAGAGGTTAGAGCTCAGTTGTCACTGAATGAATCCTTTGACATATCAGTTGAAAGCACCTTTACAGTTTCACTTCTGGTTGATGGCCCATATACATTAGATTTAATGTTGCTCCATTAGGCACTGTAATTAAGTATCTATTGGTCTTCATGAAAATGCTGGTGACAGAACGGAGTGCATTTTGGCGTCGCAGTTGATCAGTCTAGGATTGCCAACTGCTGTGAGAAAAAAGTCCCTTCAATAGAGGCTTAGTGGGGTGTTATTTACCAAGTGATATTATTTACCTCTATGTGACAAAAAGCTTCAGCTGCCCATTTCGATACATTAATCCTCTGTTAAAGGGACAGGACATTTCTCTTCAGGCCTGTTGGCAACCCTAGATTGGTCTCAAAGATGTATTACTTTGTGTTATAGTATGACCTGATGTTCTGCTGACTGGAATAAAATGTTACTCTGCTAAAGTCTGTGCATTAAAGTTTGTAGTACTGTTAAAGGAGCATAGGAAAGTGTGCTTCAGAGAGCTGTCATCTTCAGGAAATTGATTAGCAGTTAGCAGGAAGGGACTGCTGGAGGCCTAAAAAGCTCAGTTTGTAAAGGACGTGCAAAGACTAGAAATCTTTTCATAAAGGGGCAGGCTTTTAAAAATATTATTGGAATTAAGCTCTACTTGGAGCAAATTATATGCCTTTGGGTACAATCCTTAGATGAGTTTCTCAAGTTCTATTCCATTGATTTCACTGGAATAGCTCAAGACTAAGGTGGTTTGAGGATTGCAATATGATCATCAAAAGGAACAGAGTAAGCCTGGAGATACAGGAAGAATGAAGCCAATTAAAATGAAGTTTATACTTTTAGAAGGGAGAGACAAAGTACTAGAGACAGTGCGCTAGAAAGTCAGTAATGAGATGCCTTATTTTTGCAGTCTGTGAAGCTTTTAAATATTTAAAAAATTAGACAAAAAGATGAGTATTTTGTCCAAGTTTGTAGGGCCTGGTTATTTTTTAATTATTAAGGTTTTTATTATAAATCAAACCTCTAAACAGAAGGAAATAAAAAAATAACAAAAGGTTAACAACAATGGTGGCAAGTCAACAGATAAGCATCTGTAAAAGGCTTCCAAATTCCATGCGCAATTGTCATCTATTTGCAAAACATTCAAATAATTATAAGCTTGTAAAGTCCTCAATCTGTTGGCTTACTGGAGGTGGGCATTTATCTTTCCAGTTTTGTAATATTAAGTCTTTTGCAAAAGTAAGGACATGGGGGGGGGGAGGTCCATTTTTGTTGTCCATCCATTAGTCTCTAGGAGATCGGCAAAAAGTTTAAAAATACAAAGCATTCTCAAAAATCAATAACTATTCTAATATAGAATTGATGTGAATAATTACTTCCTCTCCAAAAGACCAAATAACTGGACAGGCCCAAAGCATATGTTTAAGAGACATGATGTGTGAGTTATAATGCCAGCATTTAGGCACTTTATTCCTTTACTAAAAAGGTGCCATGGTGTCCAATATGTCCTAACCATAATTTGTTGCTGAATAAGTTGCAGATTGAGGCCCCATAGAAGCAACAGGTGTGGAGCCTGGTCATATAAAGTTTAAAGCAGGGTATCAAACATAAGCGGCCCGTCCAAGACTCTTATGTGGCCCATGAGCAACTACTGTAAGGGAGGAAACAGAAGACTGCTTGGGGGGAGTGGCTTCAGCATGGCGGAACAACCTTGTCTGCATCAGTCAAACAGTGTGGGATTGTCTGCCAAGTGCTGCATCACTGGCTCTCCAATCCGCCCATGTGGATTTTTCTTTGCACCCCTCTCCCAGTCCATGAGGTCTTGCAGTGAGGATACACCAGCTCAGAGCTTACCAGCTGCTGTCCTTTATACAGCTTATATCTCTGGTACCTGGCCTGACAAAGACATTTATGTCAGATCTGGCTCTCGTAACAAATGAGTTTGACACCTCTGCTTTAAAGCATGCTTCAGTTATTGAGGTACCATGGCCAAAACTGAACTGATTAGCTTGAAACTTAAATTCAACTGGTAGAGTAGCCAGGCTAGTTTTTCTAGATGAATGAAACCAACCTCACTTGGTTTCCATTACCATTTTAAGTCTCTTCAGGCCTGGCAGCAGAACAAATAGAAGACAGTGGTGAGATAGGCAAGGGAAAGGAGGTTTACTTGTTAGTTTCCAGTTTGTGATCATGCTAGGGTCAAAGCAGGTGGGAAGAGACAACCAGTGAGAATCTTAAGTAGTACTGTGCAGTGTTCAGAGCTGGCAGTGTTCCTGTGTTTCCAGACACACCAGAAGGGCAAGCTAGATATGATGTTGCAGTTGTGGGGTATATGTTTGAAGCAGGGCCATAGTATTGGGGGAGAGGGAAGACGTGAGTTAACCCTTTCCTTGTTTGTCATTTTACTGATGTCTGAGGTGTTATTTAGCCTGCAGGAAGAAACACATAGGTACCTATATAATATAGCAATCTAAGCCTACTGCAGCCAAGAAAATGCAGCCAGTAAGGTGCTGCTGTTCCTTAGCCAGGGGTGGAAAATGGTCAGTAAAACCAGTAAAAGTCAGTTTTTTCATCTTGGTCAGTAATTTGTCAGTTTTTTTAAAAAAATTGGTCAGTAAAGTCAGTATTTCTTTGATTTTTGTGAATGCAGTTTGTGTTTTTCCATTTTCCTAAGAGTAAAAGTGATTTGGTGAAATCTTCCACAAAGTATAGAAACATAATTAACCTCTTAAACATGAGACAATGAAAATAGATGTGATAGATATTGTGGGATTCAACATGGCACAGCTCATGCTAGAAGGAGTTGAGAAAGCAGTGGAAGAAGAGGACAAGGGAAACAAAATGTTTGTGGATGCAGTGCAGAAAACTGTTGAGAAACAAAAGAGTTTGTGAATAACTTTATTTGTTTGTTTGTTTATTTATTCGATTTATACCCCATCCCCCCCCCCCCCCCGGGGCGGGCTCAGGGGGGTTTACAAAGAGATTAAACCAGCACAGGCTGTTGGTGGTAAGCCAAAGACCAGGGCACTGTCACTTCTCAGTTATTTGATGTTATTTGGTGCGGCTCCTTAGTCAAAGGCCTTGTGGAAGAGCTCCATCTTGCAGGCCCTGCGGAACTGTAAAGGTCCCAAGGTCCCTGATCTCTTCTGGGAGCTCATTCCACCAGTACAGAGCCACCACTGAGAAGGCCCTGGTCGTGGCCAGCCTGGCATCTTTAGGACCTGGGAGGCCAATCGATTTTGTGACCCTGAGCGCAGTGCTCTCTGGGGAACGTGTGGGGAAAGGCGTTCCCTCAGGTATGGGCTTTAAAGGTAAGGTCCAGCACCTTGAAGCAAATTTGGTATGCTATCAGCAGCCAGTGCAGTGCTTTTAGAACAGGCTGGATGTGCCTGGCTGCAGCATTTTGCGCTAGCTGTAGCTTCTGGATTTGGATCAAGGGCAGCCCCATGTAGAGTACCGTAGTCCAGTCTCGAGGTGAGCATCGCATGGATCACTGTCTCCAAGTCGTTGCATTAGAGGAAGGGAACCAATTGCCTAATCAGCCAGAGGTGGTAAAAGGCTGATTTGGCAGTGGCTGCTACTTGGGCCTCCATAGTTAGTGAGACATCCAGGAGCACTCCCAAGCTCCTAACCTCTGGCGCTGGCACTAATGGCACCTCATCGAAGGTCAGAAGTAGGATCCTACCCTTGGGCTGCCCCGGCTCAAGGGCCTATGTCTTCATCGGATTCAGTTTCAGTTTGCTCAGTCTGAGCCAACCAGCCACAGCTTGAAACACCCGGTCCAGATCTTCCAGTGTAGAGTCAGACTGGCTGCCCAACAACAGATAGAGTTGGGTGGCATCCGCATAGTGGTGACATCCCAGCCCATGCCTCCAGGCAATCTGGGCAAGGGGGTGCATGTAGATGTTAAATAACATTGGGGTCAGCACTGACCCTTGGGGCGTTCCACAAATCAGTGGGTGCCTTTGGAATAGCTTCTCCCCTAGTGCCACCCTTTGTCCCCGACCCTGAAGGAAGGAAGCCAGCCATTGCAAGGCAGGCCCCTGGACTCCAGTGTCGGCGAGGCAGTGGATCAGTAACTGATCAGGAACTGATGGTCAACTGTGTCAAACGCCACTGACAGGTCCAACAGCAACATCACTGCCAATCCGCCCTGATCCAGATGCCAATCAGTCTACGGTGTTCCAGTGCCCAGCCCGACATGGCCTCCACTAGGGATGGCAGAGCTCAGACCCATTTTCTTTTTCATCAAAAAACGAAAGATAAAGTAAAAACAAGACAAGTCTTACCTTACAGTAATTATGTTTTGTCATAATTATACTTTATGTTTGGTTTTTAATATGTTTTTACTGTTTTATTAAGGAGCTGCGGTGGTTCAAGTGGTTAAGACGCTGAACTGCAGGCTGTGGAAGGTCAGTAGTTTAGCAGTTCGAGACCCGAGTTGCCGCATGACGGAGTGAGCTCCCGTCTCTAGTTCCAGCTCCTGCCAACCTAGCAGTTCGAAAGCAAGAAATTGCAAGTAGATAAATAGGTACCACTTTGGTGGGAAGGTAACAGCATTCCGTGCACCTTGGTGTTTAGTCATGCCGGCCACGTGACCACAGAAACGTCTTCGGACAGCGCTGGCTCTTCGGCTTTGAAACGGAGATGAGCACCACAACCCTAGAGTCGGACTCGACTGGCTTTCGAGCAAGGGAACCTTTACCTTTACCTTTACTGCTTTATTATCTGCAGTATGTGATTATTTTTAAAGGGAATCTTTTTTGCCTTAAATTTTGTACAATAATGAAAACGTTGTCCTGTATAAAAAAATTGTTGTCCTTCATTAAAAAATTCAATTAAAAAGTGTGCAATCCTTTTATCTTGGTCACATCTAACTATGGGGCTGGCTATGGGGATGGTGGAGGCCAGATAATAATCATTTTTAATGGAGCCCTAGTTTTACATTTAAAACGCTAGCTTATCAGTAGGCTGACATTAAATTGTTCAGTAATTTGTCAGTTTTTTGTCAGTATTTGGTCAGTTTTTTTGGAATTTTGGTCAGTAAAATCAGTATTTTTGACTCTCTGACTAGTTTTCACCCCTGCTTAGCCTGCCATACTCCTTACTGTTGTCTCCAGTTCTTCTAAGTCTATGGTTAATGGGAGGCAATGCATTTGCAAGTGCTCTCCTCCTCCAAAATTATTTGCAGCCTTTTATCTGTTTGATGTGCTCAGAGAATCATTCAGGGAGCAACCGTAAGAAGCTCTACTCAGAAGTAAGTCCCATTTTATTTACTGTGGCTTATTGCCAGGAAAGTGTTTATTTCAGTCAAAGAGCTGTGATGCTGTGCAGTGGCTATCATATCTGGAGATTGTAAAAATAGTTGTGCAGTCATATTAATTTTTTGATATAAGAGACATTTGTGGGAAAGGAATGAATATAAGGATAGCTTGTGTAATGGATGAGTTTATATATGGAAACTTCCAAATATATGGATATTCCAAGGCTAACAGTGTTGATAACAGACAAATTAATAAATTCACAATCTTAAATGCAAGGCGGTACATAGTTGAAGAGGGTTAATTTTAGTGGGATTATAGTTAAAGATTGTTAGCATTAGGGTCTATGTTGGCTATCGCTTTCTTGTGTCACTTTTTAAAATACTGGTAATTGCCTTTTTGTGACTACTGAGAGTCAGGATATAAATAATCTAAGTAAATAAACAATAAATATGTTGTCTTGACAAATGTAATATTCCCAGTGCTACATAAGCACATTTAGTCACAAAAAATGCCTCCCACATACTAATGTAGTTGCATATCCTCTGCAGAGCTTGTATATGAGTTTTTACAGTATAACATTTAATTGGAAATTAAATATTGAAGTTATATTACTTTTCTTCCAGAGGATTAAAGGAAGTTCCTGATTTATCACAGTTCCGGATACTAATGTATTTGTGGCTAAATAATAATAAGGTAATAAAAATTATAAATATAATTTCAATATATTTATATAATATAAAATTAATTATAATATATTTTGGCAGTTAAAGTAATGCACTTTATAAAATCACAGGCTTTGCTATATTCAGCACTTAAACCTTACTGATTTCAAGGGGAAAGAATAAAACACATTCTCAACTCATCCAGTGGAATGTATGACATTTAAAAGAATTTTGACTGCATTGTTTTCTTTATGCTTTGTATTTCTACGAATACCTCACAGGGTTGTTGTGAGGATAAAATGGAGAAAGGGAGAATTATGGTGAGGTGTTTTGGGTCCCCACTGGGGAAGAAAAAGTGTATATAAAGTAAATAAGTAAATTCTAACTTCTGGTCCTCATTTGTTACCACTGAGGCAGATTAATATTTATTATCATTCATGTAAAGGGTGTGTGTGTTGTGGGGGGGGAAGTATTCTGTTACTACTTTGACAGATTCTGGGGAAATCTTAACTTCCCCTTCAGTTAATCATACTAACAAAGGTTTGCTGCTATACTACTATTAAATACTTTTGAAGTTGCCAACTGGGATAGATAAGGAATAGTTGAGACTGAAAAGTAAGCTGGCGGGGGGAGAAAACTTAGAAATGGGAATGGACCAATGGCAAATCTTGAAGGGAAGGTAGCAAAACGAAGGAGGTGCGTGGGAAAAGACAAAAAAGGTGTTTTTTCCAAGTTTTGCTACTGCACACTAACAGGGCTGCCCTTTTTTACAATCTGTCTGGTCAGGAGCTGGCTGGGTGGAACTAAAGGAAAAAGGAAACTATAGACTGCAGGAGATTGTTACAAGGCTGCATCCTGCATTGGCTGTAACTTGTCCTCGCTGGTCTTGCCTTCTCCAATGCTGGCTTGGCTGATGGGTTTAGCAGGATCTAAGAAGTGAAAGGTTCCCTCAGCCTCCTAGGCCCTTTCTGCACTCTCCTTTTAATCCATGTTCACTGTGGTGTCCTCCAAGTGATTCTGCACTAAAATCGAACTCAACCTTCTTTTTAATATAGGTTTTTTCCCCCCATTCTGCACTGAAATTGAGTTCAACCTTCTTTTTATTCCAGGGCCTGTCCCCCCCCCCCCTACTTTCAATACATTACCTCCCTTCAGTGGTCAGCCCAGTTTCAGCCTCCTGTTGCCCGGGTTTATTTGGATGCTGTTTTGCTGGGGACTTAGGGTGATTCGGCATCTGGCATTCACTCCACATTTTCTCAACATTGAGGAAAAGGTACAGCTCAAAACCACATTCAGATACCCCAGGGCAAGCCATACTGATTGTGAAGTCACCCCTGAATGGCCATTAATCTATGCAAAAGGTACCATGAAACCTGATGATCAAAGAAATTGAAAGCAGCATGCAGTGTAGAGGTTACCGTAAAATTCAATGATCAAAGAAAGTGAAAGCAGCATGCAATGCGGAGAGGAATTTCTGTTCCAACGTGGGTTTGGTAAAACAATGGAGGGAGAAGCCAATGCAGAATCGGCCTTTAATTGCCTCAACTTGAACACTGAGAAAATCCGGAGTGGCAGGCAAATGTGGAAAGGACCCTTGTAAACTTTGCAGAAGGGTGGAGAGCTCTTTAGTGTACAGCATGGTTCTGGCTTCAGAGGCCCTCCAGATGACTTGGCCTCCCCTCCCCTGATCTTGTCCCTCCCCCTAGTTGGCAGCCCTGATGTGCGATTCACCTTAGTTTAAAGATGGTTTCTGAAGACATTTTAGCCAGCATGGAAATTGTCTGAAGTCATCAGTGTCTTGTAGGTTGGTGCTTAGTGTGTGAAAAACTGCATGTTTTCATATTGTACATTTATTTGCTGTGTCATTTGATATTTCTGGTTTTTTGGAAATTTCTCAGGAACCTTTGAATGATGGTTCAGAGTCAATCTATTCAGTTTTAACTCTCACTAATACAAAAGCATAACCCTATTGTTCTGATTTTCACATTTAGATTGAGAAATTAACTTTTTTGAAGCATAACTGTTGCTTGAGAGAACTGTACCTCAACAACAATGAAATCAGAAATATAGCAGGTATTCTGTTAACTTTGTTTTTTTAAAACAACAAATAGGTTGTGATTTCTGTGAATTCAAATATATTTGAAATGCTTGAAAGACTGTTGAGAGAACTAAAATGTATTTTGCTTTTGCTAATATAGTGTGAATATAGCGCTCTAAAGCAAAAGAAATATAGTCTAAGGTTGCTGTGGTTTTTTGAGCATGATTTAGTACCATAAAATACCTGTGACAAGATGGATTCTCTGTGAATTAACCCCTCTCTCTGTGAGGAGGCATCCTTGATGGATGGACAGTTGCTTGGGTGGGTTCTGGAAGATGGGAATAATTTCCAGGTTCCAGTGTTTACTGTTGGGAGGCTCCCTCCTCCTCCTCCTTTTTGCTTGCTCCCTTGGTCAGGAACTTGAAGATCTAGGAGATTTCTGTATTTGAAGCTTGCCCATGCTAGGATCTTTTCAGTTCTTTCTTTCAGCTTCTTTATGGTCTTCCTTTCTCATTCTTCTGTCGCCACTTTTCTATCTTACCTGTGGCTATTAAAATTTTTTCTTACTCAGCCTAGATGATGTCAGAATGCCATTCTTCTGAAGGGGCCTTAGATGAGTGCCTAGATGCAGGGGAGTCCTGTACCTTGAAGTGACTGATTGGCAAGGAGTGACAAAGCTTCAGAGTGGAGCCATATACTGATTAACTCAGTTCAGACTCCAAGGCAGAAACAAGGCTTTGTGCCATGCAATCATCAGTGCTCCTCAGCAGTGGAGTGGACAGGCAGCAGCCTGTCCTGTTTAGCAAATGATGACAATTCAGCAGAATAGGCTGAGTTTCTTTATGGCTGTGAACATCTCAAATCCCCCATTCACCATTCAAAACAGAAACGTTCTTAGATGTGTCTTGGGCCATAGAGGAATGACTACACCACTTTATTGCCTGGAAAGTGGCCAATCACATTCCCCTGGAACCAAACTGAGGGAGAACGCTGAACCAGAACAGTCTCCATCCTCTTCTCTTTGCTCTGGCAAGATAATCAGCTTAAGAGCCACAGAGAGCCTGTACAGCCTTTTGTTCACCAAGACCCAATTAGGAAACTTACGCCACTCAGGTAGCAGACATTAACCAGAGTCCAACCAAGAAGGCTTACCAAAGTGTCCAGGAAATCAGCTAGGCCTTTCACAGCTATCACTGGTGCTAGAAGATCACTCAGACTGATGGGTCTTTCCCCCCATTTATTTAAATACTAGCAGTAAAGCCTAGAAAGTTGTGATGTGTAACAAATGCATAGAAAGGTACAAATGTGGAAGTAAATGCTCAGAAACCATATGTCCAGAAATACCTAGTGTCCAAGGCCACACCATGTCGGCCAGAAAACACAGCAGACAGTGGTCCATGGAGTAGTTTCTTCAGTTGGGTAGGCTCCAAAGTGGACATTCTGGGGGCAATAAAAGGCTTGTTGTGTGTTCTCTAAGTCCCATGTCTTTTCCCACCTTGGCTGGCCTTCTCCATGGCGCTGGCCGCTCTGCAGCTGGCCGGCCACTTGCACCCAGCTGGCGTCAGCCTCCTCACCATTGTACCTGGTGGTGAGTTCTGGTGCAAGTTGGCTGGGGCTGAGGCTTGGGGGGCTGCTGTTAAGTTGGTGGTGGTGTGAGGCAGCCAGTACGGCACTGAGACACCTCTCCGTTGCCTGGCTGGAGCAGGTAGCCTTACGGTGCGGGGGAAGTGAAGGTGGGGTGGGAAGTGGAGGCCAGGGCCGAGCGGACGGGGGAAGCTGGCTGGGTGGCCACAGGGCCTTGACGCTGAAGCGGGAGAAGGGTGGGCGCTTAGGTGGGACAATGGGGCCTGTGGGCTTACCCGTTGCTCATGAGGGGAGGCTGGCATGGGCTGAGGGGGGTGGCCAGGCAAGGGCTGTCCTCGAAGGACCCCTCCATGGCAAGCACTGGTGTCGTCAATGTGAGCAGGAAGCAGCTCTCGAGTACTTCCTCCTCTGCAAGAGAAGGCAGAGCCACCCCATGCTAGGACGTTCCCCGAACCCCTCTCCCTGGAGGAGGAGCTCGTTTGTGTATGAGGACGTGGCGACGGCCCCACTTGTCTGCCTGGCGCTTGGAATGGCAGTTCCTTTCATGGTGAGGGTGGGGGGGAGAGCTCCATGTCCTTGGCAGGATGACTGAACAGCGGGGTCCTGGCGTCATTTACTTTCAAGGAAGTGGTAGTGAGTGGCTGCCGAGGAAGTCTGCATAGGATTGCAGCCTCGTCCAGCATGTTTTTTGTCCTTTTAACTCTACTCCGGGTCCATTTTTCTTGGCTTTGTATTCCCCTTGGTCCTAGTTTTCTGCCATTGTGCTCTGCCTCCCCCCCTTTCTGCCAGTCAGCCTCCTGACCCTCCACCCGCTGGACCATCGGTCCTGTCCATTGACTCCCACCACATTGAGGTCAAGATGCTGGCTGCTGCTTCTGTGGATGGGACTCAGCCAACACAGCCAGCCAGTGCAGCCAGGGGATTGGCAGACCATCTGCGTGACAGATCAGCCAGCCAACTGATTCGGGAGCGCATCGAATCTTGCCACTCAAAACTAGAATTATTATATAGGAGAGATCTTTAAACTACTTTAAGCCCACTTTTCCCTGGGAATAGCATTCAAATCAGACAAGATCATTGAGTCAGAAAATTCAGGGTATCTCTTAGATCAGGAAGAACTATAATGAGAATTAGACACCAATTTAAGAGCATTAAGCTAGACACCTTTTCCCTCAAGATCACCTCTGATTATTAAGGCAATGTGCCTTTGGCTCTCTGATAATCCAGATGCAGGGGGAAGCCCAGAAGGACCGAGGGGAGTGGGGGCAAAGGTCCCCCCCCAAAGAATCCCATGCATATATTCTCCTTTCTGAAATTCTTTGAGGAAGAGATGAAAGGGAAGTGATGTGTTCTGCTAGTCCGCAAATTTTATGTTGGACAGTTTGGTGCTGGACATGCCAAGAAGTATCATTGTCCCAACAGAGCTTCCAATATAATGAAAATTCAATTAGTACAGTATGTACCAGCTATGGTGCTAGTATTCAGAGCTGTTGTTCAAATGACAAAACAGGTTCACTGAAGAATGCAGCATACTGCAAGAGCAAACTTGCTCTGCACAGCATCCACAGAGCCTTCTCCTGCTTGTGAAATTCAGGTTGTTAAAGAGCATTGTAACAGTGAATAGATAATGTGGGAAATATATTCAAATGGTGAAACAAGCATCTGTATTTATGCCTGTTGGCAGCTTGGACTCCATGATGTTCTCTGCCTCGGCAATTGTCTCGGTGATTATTGTATGCTGCAACATGTGATTGAAAAGGTGAGCAGATGATTTTGCATCTAAAGAATCTGGTAATATCTGCCTTTGGGGGTGGGGTGAGTCTAGAAAGATGCTCTAAACAACATCCTGCTAGAAACTAAGCACAAGAATAAGACTAATTCTATCTTGCGCTGGGAGAGAATCACCAACCTTGATCACAGCCTTTTATTTCCTTGTTCCCAGTTGATATTTTCCTGGTTTCAGAACCATTTTAGGAGGACTGCCTGCTCCAAACTGCTGCTTCTTTCAGACCATCTTCCCATCTTCAAACATCAGGGAATTTTTACACAAGTAATTATGGGAGAAGTTATTGACCACAGTGTAACTGATGCCAGAGGTCCATCATTAGACCATTGAATGAGGGACACAGTAATCAGAGAGTACTCAATAGATTATCTAGTTTCTTACAACAGGTTCATTACATCCCCTGGGATATCTCACCTGAATAAAAGAGAGCATGTAGTGGATACCATTGAAAACCTGCTTGCCATCCAGGTGATAGAGCCAGGATCCTTGCAAGAAAGATTCTCCAGCATATATTCAATATACTTTATAGTCCCTCAAAAAAAGAGGGACCCAATACTTGGACTTAGACATATCAAGCAGTATGCAAGGTACTGGAAATTCAGAATGGAAGCCTTGAAATCTGTTATGGTATCCCATTAATGTGGAGATTTCATGGCATCAGTAGCCTTGACAGAAGCCTACCTGCCTGTCCCAAGTTATCCAGCATATTAGACAGCTGCTGTATGCTTTTTCTCTGATCCCACTCATGATAAGGAAATTGAATTGGGGACAAGGAGACCTCATTTGTGTGCAGCTTCACTGGAGAAGGAGGCCATGGTTTTCCCAACTAGTGGAACTTCTGGTACAGGCACTGGCTCATACCTATGAATCTCTTCAACCAAGGCCCAAACTGTAATCCAGATTTAGGATGGCTGGGATTAACTATGTAGTAAATGAAAGTGAAACCCTCTGACATATGCCTTAACTGGGAAAGTGATCACAGAGATGATCTAGAATACAAATTTGATGCCTTATGGAAAATATTTGTGAGATGGTGGAAGATCAAACTTGTGTCAAACATGAATGCGTCTTTCTTCATGTCCTTACCTTCTTGAAATTAGTAAAAAAGTTATAGACAGATGGCCATGTTAGTGACAATTATGCCACCAGTAAAGGGCATAGCCATTACTAGACATCCACACCTCAAGTGTTTCTGTGAGGTATATCACTACTGAAACCTCCAGTAATTCACCATCTCCCCTCATGAAAACTATATGTAGTACTGCAGACATTAACCCAGCCTCCATCTGAACCTTTTGGAGAAGTTCTGTTATAGATGCTGACCTTGAAGGTCCTCTACTTGGTGGCAGTAACTTCAGTGAGGAGGGCATCTGAGCTGGCGTTTCTATGCATTTGACCAAGCCTTGACCAAGGTTATCCTAAAAAACAAATCCCATATTTATTCCAAGAGTGACACTGGCTTTCACAGGACACAAAATCTCTTTTCCATTTGCCCTTAGCAATAATACCTGAAGAAGAAGGCCTGGCACTTTCTGATCTGCATAGAACATTACATATTTATATCTGAAAGTCTGATACTTTTTAAGAAGTAAGGTTCTGTGTTTATAGTGTCCCCCACATGACTATCATGGGCAAGAGGTTCTCCAAAAATTTGCTCAGTATGTGAATGCATCAAGGTAATCATGTATCTGATGGGATTAACTGCTCATTCCATTAGAAATACTGCTGTGTTTCCAGCTGTTAACAGAAATGCCTCAGTGGAAGATGTCTGCAAGGTGGCAACATGGGCATCTACTTCTGTCTTTCGTAAAGCATTCCAAAATAGTTGCTACTGTCTCAGCTGATACTCACCTTGGCAACAGAATTCTGTATCAAGTTATGGAATGGATCATTGATGGTAGTCAGTCCCACTACATACAGCTTTTGGACATTACATCCATCTAGGATGCTGTCCTCTTAGTAAGACCAGAACACTGAATTTACCAAGAGCGTTTCCTCTACTCATAGATAAGACGGAAAGCTGGTCCCACCTTATTTTTTGGGTGGGAGGGAATAATGACTGTTTTGGCTTGGAAGACATGAGTCTTCAGGAAGCTGATGTGGTGGCTTGAATGAGATCAGTGGTGAAGATGAAGCAAGGAAGAGAGTTGTCATGTCAAAAGGACGTGGGGTACTAAGTAGTATTGGGTAGACTAATAATGCAGTTCCAGTTCTTAAAACTAATAGGATAGGAACTGATTATTGAATGGCTCTGGTCCATTTCTTTTGTTCTTATTACAGATGTTGGTTTTATGTGCTCATGATTAGATCTGATTGGGGCCAGTTAGGCTGTCCATATCTGGGGGCCTTTTTTCTTTTTTTTTAAGATGAATCATTTTAATCTGATTGCATTACTGTTCAAGTTTAACAGAACGGGAAATCACAGCTCAGTGGTTTTCAGTTTAGATTTTATTACTTACAGCTCCTACTGCTTTATTTGTATTTGTGATCCTAATATTATCTGCATATTTTGTGTTATGCATCAATAGATCCATTATTGTTATCATTTTAGGTGCTCTCAGGCATGCACATTCATTGCAGATCCTGCTGCTTCATAACAACCAGATGAAGAACCTGGAAACAACTGTGAACGAGCTAAAAGGAATGATGAATCTACAGACTTTAAGTAACTTATTTTCTATAAACTGTATGTATGATAAGGCCCCAGTAATACATTTTTGAAATCCAGTATTTTTAAGACGAAGGAGTCAAAATTCAGCCTTTTGGGGGGGGAATCTTTTGCTGAGCAAGTAGATTCTATAATTAAACATACCAATATATGTTTTAACTAGTGTAGACATTTTTTAGTATACTGAAGAGAGCAAGGGGTGAATGAAAATGCCTGAGACTCTGAAATTTCATATTAAGATAAACAAGACAGTTGCTGGCGCCACTAAGTTTTGCTGTATGAAATTGCCTTCAGGGAAGTAGGATTATAAACTGTTAACCTATTGAAAGTGAAAGTGTAAGCAATCTTTCTTCGTCTCTTCTGAAAGAATGCACTCATAGATCATACCAGGCTTTCAGAACTTTAAGAAGCAGGAACTAATTTAATGCCTTAGTAAAGTAATTAATGGAGGCATTTAATATCATCCAAACTACATATAAATTCAACAGGCTGAATGATGGCTAGAAGTATAAAGGTGACTTGAATCTGAATCTGAGCCAAGTTGAAAACAAGTCAAGTGTATAATGTGCCAATCAAACTATTCCCTTTCTTGTTTTTCAAGATACAGCTTTGAATAATTTAGCACTGATTATTTATGCCTTGACTATTAGAGGACTCATTAGCAGTTCATAGTGATTGTCCTGAAAACAAATTATACAGTAATGAAGTCAAGACAAGTTATCCTTGTTAAATCCATAAACTAGCAGCATACCATGATGAATGGACATAACCAATGAGTATGGAAAGGGATAACTATTTGAGATGTTGGGGAAAAATTCTGTTTAATTGGGGTTAGCTGCACAGCAGGTAAACTTCACACTGTATTCAGTTGTATTGGGTTTTAATATTTCAGAGTCATCTCTTTGCTGAAGACACCCAAAGAACATGCAACACTAAAATCCACTACAGTTAATTAAATACAAAATACCTATTAAAATACAAAATCAAAACCAGCATATCTCTGCTGAACATGTCATATTTGTATCACTTTCATTAGTTGAATTTGACCTTTCACCAATTTGTGTTTAAACAGAAGAGCAATCTAGCTTCCCTGATAAAATGGTAAATCAGCTATTATTTTACAAGTAATAATGGACTATAGTTTTTCTCTTCCTGTGTGAAATTAGAGACTGTGTGCACCGTTCAGCCTTAACACTATTTGTAGAGAAGACGGGACTTGCTGTTTCAGATCCGTAAAAGCAGTGATCTTTCTTCTACTGCCATCTTGTGGTTCTTTAAAATGAAATTAATTTACAATTATTTTCTTGTTTGTAGTTATTTAACAAGAGAATTTGGGGCCGCGGTGGCTCAGATGTTAAGACGCTGAGCTGCAGACCTGAAGGTCTGTAGTTCAGCAGTTCGAGATCTTAGTGCCGTGTGATGGACTGCGCTCTCGTCTCTGGCCTCAGCTCTTGCCAACCTAGCAGTTCGAAAGCAAGAAATTGCAAGTAGACAAATAGGTACCGCTTCAGTGGGAAGGTAAAAGCGTTCTGTGCGCCTTAGCATTTAGTCATGCCAGCCACATGACCACGGAAACGTCTTTGGACAGCGCTGGCTCTTTGGCTTGGAAATGGAGATGAGCACTGTCCCCTAGAGTCAGATCTGACTAGCTCTCGTGCAAGGGAAACCTTTACCTTTTTAACAAGAGAATTCACAAAAGGAATTGTTTTTTAAAAGTTGGATATAAATGCAGATGCTCTGTACTGAATGACTTTTCAGGAGCATCTCATTATAGACTGATATGTACATAGTGCTATTATTATAACAGATCACTAATGTCTTTCCTAGAATAATGTGGGTTCAACTGTTAGGTGTTAAATGTGCTGTGACTTAGCATTGACTTAGTGAACGTCCTGTCTTATTAAACTTGTCTTGATAACATAAAGAGAAGGAAGTGATGTAATTTGGTTTAAGCGTTATGGCAACAACCCAGCAGGTTGTAGGCAGAGCTCTGGATGTAAAAAGTGGAACTTCTCAGGCTTTGGGATGGGTCAATTACAAGCCTTTTACCAGCTTAGGCTGCTTCACCATGTATAGCCGTAATGGGAAAAGAAGATCTGGCCATTGTTATACCTGCTTTGGCGACATCCATGCTGGGCTACTGTAACATGCTCTATATGGACCTTGACAGTGGTCTAGAAACTTTACCTAGTAAATGTGATGGTTGGGATTGGCTAGGGTTCTTTGTATAGCCAAAAGTTCATTGGTTTATAGAACAACTTCAAGCAGTGAAATGGGTTTGAAAATAGGACTGCTTTGAATACAGGTGGAGGAAAAATTGTGAGGAATACAACTGATCACAAGGAAGAACTCATTCATATCTACATTGTGTCATTGTTAATAGTGAAGCGAGTTCACTTCACCACAACCATTGCATCTATACAACTGGACTTTGACCCAGGTAGTAAGGTAGTATTTCCCCTGATAATTCAGAGCAGGAACATATTGTAGCAGTTTTGCAAGGTGTTTTACAGAGAAAAATCATTGAAGTTCTCCAATAAATAAATAAATAAATACTATCTATTGAAATACAGATTGTTGTTATTTTGCAGAGTTTTTGCTCAATTGGTTTCTTTGTTTCAATTCCTGCAGATCTGTTTAATAACCCTCTGTCACAAGATTGCAGATACCGTCTTTATGTAATATACCACCTTCATGCAGTTCTATTGCTTGATAGAAAAGGTATAAATTGCTTTTATTTTCTTCATGAACAAAGAGATCAATTACATACATACCTGTGATTGTACGGAAGCACAATAGTTATTGGAGTTACAGTCAGTAAAGCAAGAAAAATGTGTGTATATTTTTAAAAGATTCAGTAAATAACAGAAGTTGATTTCATTAATTTTGTAAATAAGCATGTCTGTTACTAGATTTAATTTATCGTATAGTTATTTGGACAACTTTAAAAATCTATCTGCAAATTAAACAGGTATTGCTTTCAAATTGTCCAAGTCTCAACAAACACACTACACAAGTTGAAATAAGTTATCTGTTATAATTGCACTTAATTAGTCCAGGTATGGAAGTTCATTTCAAAGTAGTTTTCTTAAACATCAGTCAAAAATTTAGTTCTCTTTAAAATGTATGTTTCATAGACTGATCTTTTTTGGTAACTCATTTTAAAAGTGGTAAAAAAATAACTTTCCCATCTTGAGAAAACCTGGAAAAAGCAGACTTTTTAATACAATTGGTAACTCGTTTAAAAGTGGTAAAAAAATTTAACTTTCCCATCTTGAGAAAACCTAGAAAAAGCAGACTTTTAAAAAATACAACACTTAGTGAAGCACTTCTTCTAGAAACTACTCTTTTCTAGCTGGTTTTATCAAAATGGGGTCTCAATGTGTGGATGCAGTAGGTTCCTGTGAAGTCCTTGTCTTTCAACTAGTTTTCCAGGAGGTGAGGAATAGTGGGTCAGCACCTCCCCCCAGGTGCCTAAAATCTGTGATTTCTTTCATTACTGACACCACTTTCTTCTACTACTTGTTGGCAAATTGAGATGCCTAGTGTTATTTGTGGTGAGGCTGGATTTGGCCCTGGGGCTTCCAGTTGCTGCTTGATGCAGCAGCAAGCTTTATTATTTGTAAATTTGGCTGTAGCCCAGAACCCAATGTATCTTAAAGGTCTTTTGATCTTTTGAAGGAGTAGCCATTTGTTGGATTGATTGATTATTTCCCCTTAGTTCTTAGTTTTAATTGATAGGAAAACAAATTTTATTCCAGTAATCAAGTAAAAGTACAATTTTCTGAATGTTAAGCACCTCTGAGTCTTTTAAACTCAACGGTAAGGAGTTAATATTGTATAAACTCTCCCTTGAAATTAATGAGAGCAAATTAGTGCTTAATTTGTTGGATTCTGGGTAGGGTTTTAGGGATTGCAGGATTTTTATAAACATAAGAGAAGCCAATGTTGGATCGGGCCAATGGCCCATCCAGTCCAACACTCTGTCACACAGTGGCCAAAAATACCAGGTGCCATTCAGGAGGTCCACCAGTGGGGCCAGGACACTAGAAGCCCTCCCACTGTTGTCACCAAGAATACAGAGCATCACTTGCCCCAGACCTAGAGTTCCTACCTATACCTTGTGGCTAATAGCCACTGATGAACCTCTGCTCCATATGTTTATCCACTTCTGTTTAATATTTTCATCACTTATATTCCCTGTTGCGAAACTTGTCAAAGCAGGCCATCTAGCATATTTATTTATAAGATTTATATACTGCCTTTTCACTACACCTGAATGAAGAGACCCCATGTAGTCTAGTGGTTAGAGTGTCAGACTATGATTTGAGAAGTCCAAATTGAAATCCCCTGTCTTACCATGAAGTTTGCTTTGTGCCCTTTGGCCAGTCACACACACACACTGTCTCCCTCACAGAATTCTTGTGAAGATAAAATGGAGATAGGAGACTCATTTATGCTGCTTTGAGCTCCTCGGAGGATGGAAAGGAATTTTTTTTTTTAAGTAACAGATACCTTAAACAAGCTCTTTGACATAGGAAATCCCTTCCTTGTAACCAGACCAGCAATATCACAATTGTAGGCTACTTAAGAGTTTCAAAAGGGGTTTTTAATGTAGCATGGGAAGCCTGCTATTCAAAGAAAAATATCACAGGTCTGATTGGGAAAATACAACTGAGGCACTGGGTGCTTCGAAAGGAGTTTTCTGAATTGCAGCTACAAGCCTTCACTGCAGCCATTAGGCTCTTGACTGTAAATCATTCAGTCTACAGAGTCAGACATGTGGTACAAAAGTTCTCATAGGAACTGTCTTTTAACATTACAAAACAGATATCACCAAGACATACTGTGATGCACAATATGCATACTTGCTTACATATTATCACCACTTATCAGTATTACAGGTTCATGCTAATTGATTCCTTGATTCCTATATTAAAAGACTATACTACATCTAAAGAGAGTCTGTTACAGCTGCTTGTTCTAACCCAGTTGCTCATATTTATCTTTCAGTGAAAATGCACTGAGCAAGTATATACAAAAAAATCTTAATTTATCTGTCAGGAATCATAATCATCAGCCTTAGTGAACTGCTATTGAATTTTGGATTGTTAATCTAGTAATAGAATATGTAACAAGTGACACTTTTACATCTGATTTTTATTAAGCTCAATTTTCTAGCTTCTTTATGACTCAATGGATCTGTGCCATATCTTATTCCAGTTGATAGGCTGAGAAATATGTGTTGAGTAATGATTTTCTCCATTATATAAGCAGATGGTTAAACTTATAGAGAACATCATCTATTTATATTTTACAGAAATAACCGTTAAAGAAAGATCATTGGCTCTGAATACTTACAACCACAAAAAGACCCTTGTCCTCCAATCCATAGGATTTGGGAAGAGAACAGATGTACCACTGTTGCCTAAGGCACCATTTAATAAAAGCTGGTCATTAACCAAAGTGTTGCGCTTGCCTCCAGGTATTTGCAGTACTCCAGGAAAATAACACCTCTGACTAATCATTACTTACTCCTACTTGTACTAAATGACTTCAATTTATAGACTTCTGTAGTTGCCCAACTTTGAACAGATCTGTTGAGAGTTTTTGTTAAATAAGTTGCTGTGGGGTTCTAGATCGAGGTTAGTGGCCTGATCTGGATGGCTCAGGCTAGCTCAAACTCAGAAGCTACACAGGGTTGACCCCGGTTACTATTTGGATGGGAGACCCCTGCGGGGTCACCAACAGCACTTTCCACCACTGTCAGTCTTAGAGCAGTTTTAAATCAAGTTTTTTTCAGCTTATGTGCAGCGTGTATCTGTCCCCCTTTTTTCAGGACAGAGACCGTACCATGCCAACTTGCCAAGCCATATATTTGAACCTTCTGGGCTTGACAGGGACCTTTTGAAGAACTGAAGGACCAATTCACACATTATAAAATCCTTGTGGCCACCTCAGGGACTTTGGATACAAGTTACAGTTTTTAAGGCATTTACTAAAATTTAAGTATTCTCATGTTTTCAGGACTTTCAGTAGTTAGGTATTCAAGCCTAAGAGCCTTGAAAAATATTTATAAATATGGTATATAAACATAGCTTTCTTTTTTTTATTCCAAGAGGGAAGAAATTGTTCTGAGGTTTTTGTTCCCACCTCCAGTTGTTCCCCAGTGACTACTATGAGAACCCACCCAAGGTTCACCTTAATGCACAAATCTTTAGAAATGAATACCTCTGTGCAATGCTTCTCTCTTGTCATGCATAATTGACAGGACTTGATCTGAAAAACAGCATTTGCTTTACCAGAAGAAAAGTCATATGGAATTATATGAGTAGATCAGAAGAAATTAGAAATAATTTTCACATTGAGGAAATGGTTTAGATCACGTGTTTAACTTTTATTTGTAACTGACATGTAGAATGGGCTGTTATGGTTTAATATTATCCCAAAACAATCACTATGATTTATGGCAACTATGTTTTATAGTTAATAAAAATGCATATGGTCCTTACATATTACAAAGGTGACGAAAATATAACAAATAATGTGGTCCTGTGTCACAAATTTAGAAAAGTCCCATTCTTGTGATATTGTAGAACAGCTTCTGCAACAAGTTGTAGTAAGTTGACAAGCATCTAGATGTAAGCCCGTCTTGTAGTTGATCTTCCTCAGAAGTTATCTCTCTCTTATTTACAACTCAACATTTACATAGGAAGCAAACCTACACTATCACAAGGATGGGACCTTTCTAGATTTGTGATACAGGATCACATTATTATATTTTTCTGTCATCTATGTAATATGAAAGGAACATATGTATTTTTTTTAAAAATAAAACATAGTAGCCATAAATCACAGTGATTATGATTGTTTTGGGATTTTTATACTGTGATCCTGGTTTGTTTTTATGGTTTAATATTATGAATCGTTTGACTTAAATTATATACTGATTTTAAGAACTTGTTTTACACTTGTTATAGGTTGCGAATTTGGAAATCACTTGGTCAAGTAAGTAGTTGGATCCTTTCTTTAATTAATGTATGTTAAATCTAATACAAGTTTCCCAAGGAAATATTTCAGAAAATATATTTAAAGATCAGAAACATATCAGCAAGTTCACACCCAAGGACCACCTACTGCTGTATAAACCAAGGCGACTGCAGTCATCTTCAGGGGCCCTTCTTTGGATGCCCCAGCTGTCAGAGGCTAGATGGGCAGCAACCCAAGAAAAGACCTTCTCAGTTGTGGCACCAAAACTATGGAATTCCCTCCCCAGGGAGATCCAGCTGTCCCTCCCTTATGTGAGTGAGTGAAGACTGATCTGTGTCATCTGGACTTTCCTCACTGCCCCTCCTTCATGTGTATGTGTTGTTTTCATGCTATATATTTTAAAGCTTAATTAAAAAAAATTGATTATTCACCACCTTGGGGACCCTAAACTGTGTGGAAAGGTGGCATAAATGTTTTGAATAAAATTACATAATGATGTTGTATTGGGCTTTACATTTGCACCTTGAAGATTCAAAATTTGTGTTAGGTTGTGAGCTTTTGTGAGTCACTGCTCATGAAACGTTGTTAGTCTTAAAGGTGCAACTAGACTCTTGTTCTTTTCTACTGTTACAGACAAACATGGCTACCCATCTTGATCTAGGGCTTTCCATGTTAGAGATGAAGAATATGTATTATACGTATTGCTATCCGAGCAAGTATTCAGTAGTGTAAGCCCTAGTCCAGCATGTTTAGATCAGAAACAGTTTCCACAGCTGCAAAGTTCCACAAGCGTGTGTGATTTCTGATGCTTCCCAATGCAGATCCTCATGTCACATCCCATATTTTTCCAGAGTGTTCCCTGACACCCCCAGTAGGTTTTTGCAAGGAGCTTTAGTCAGGGAGAGGGAGGCAGATAAGGTTTCCATGAGCAGAACTCTACCCATAATCCTGTCTATTCAACCTAATGTTTTTTTAAAAACTCAAACTCTTATCTCATAGTTACCCAACATGCGCAAACATATGGTCTACCTAAGGTTCTCACTACTCCCAAGTCTGTGTACTAGACTGTGTTTGGCTACAGGGGCAGCAGCATTCACAAAGCATACAGTTGATTGCATAAGAATGCTCTTGCTCAGCAAACACAAATAATATTGATTTGTTTTGATACTGAATTAGCTACGAAATAGATTGTAGTGGTTGTCCTAAAGAAATTTTAATAAAATACTTGAATTCTTAAAGAGGTCAGTCTAACCAGATTTAAGCACTTTAAAAGCACAAGGGTTTAGATGGGAGAAACTGACCCACTGTGATAGTGGCACTTGTGCTTTTCTATAGCACTCTTTGGCTTCAGTTATCTGTACTTTGAAGAGACGTTGCTTTATTTCATCATGATGCCACATGATTTTGTATCAAAATATTCACAATTCAATGTCAGCAGTCTGTAACTTTAAACTTACTTCACTGAGAAATAATACTGAGTAAGGTCTTTTAAAAAAATTAGTCCTAATTTCTGTTTTAAGGTGATAGTCGAATGAGCAGTACTAGATAGAGATAGAAGTTACTTCACTGTATAGAAAGTTCTCTTGTAATTTGCTCTTTATTTAAGAATTCCATTTGAAAATCCAGAAGATGCTGTCTTTGTGAGGGCAATGAATCGTTCTATAGTGGAGTTCTCTACTGTTAATTGGGATAAAGTGCCCACATGTGAAGAAAAACGTCTTGGCACAAAGCCAGAAAAAAAGGCAGAGAAACTGACAATAAAATTCAGATAACTCCAAGTTTCATCAGGAAGCTGTGCTGTAAGAACCTGTCTTTTGCCATTATTTATGTTAGACATTTTTGTTCTAACCTCTAAAGGTACTGCAAAGCAAAAAAAATCTTCAGTTTGTTTTATTATTTCAGCTTTTAAGAGTCCCTTCCCACAACAGTATTGGGAAGCATTGGCTATTGACTGAATGCAGTTTCTGAGCCCTCAGCTGGTAGTTTAAGTGTTAAGCTGTAGTAAAATAAATATCCGAAAATCACTGTTATGCCACTATAATGCTACTGCTACTCTTGCTTATGTGTACAGAAAGGACTTAAGGAAGAAACTTCTAGTTTAACTACAGACAGATCACCATGCCTAGTGATACTCTTCTTGGATAGCAAGTTACATTTGTCTATTCTCCATCTTCTGCAGAATGTTACCAAATTGTAGCTACATCATCAGATAGTATCAAAAGATTTGATAGGAAACACTATCCCACTTCAGTATTTGTTAAAATGTTCTAGAACTTATTTCAATACAGCCTTGTTTTAGCAAAGTAAAAATTCAATTGAGTTAACATGCATTATCAGGATTTGTTTAATGAAAACAGAGACATAAGAAAAAATAGCAAAATTCATTTTCAACATGTGGCTGACGTTCCAGAAGAGTGTAGTATTTACTTTTAAAGATGTTACAATGCCACATAATTTAATTTACTTCAATTATGTTATTTTAATACAGTGAAACCCATTATAATTTTTAAGACATGACTTATTTCAATTGAACACACAAGTTTTCATTTTGCTAGCAAGTGTCTCTATTGTCCACATGCATTTTAAAGTTTATGCTGCTCAGTGTTGCTACAAAGACAGTTGGTAAGGGTATTCTGATTTTGACCAGATGGTTAAGCTCTTGTCCTCAGAATCTAAGATTGTGTGACACAATTACACTGGACAAACAAGTTCCTATAAGCTGAATCACAACATATGTGACTGTGTGAGCACAACTGCATCCTGTGGACTTGTGCTTCAGAATATTGTAGTAAAATAAGAGTACATCTTTCCAAAGAGTTTGGCTTTCCAGCTAGGCCCCACTTACTCCTCTGATTCATGAGCTTTTTCAATAGCAGTATCTGTTAAATCAGTCTCTTCTTTAGAGAGAATGTCAGCTGGAGATGATAGTACAGGTATCTCCTTGTTAGAAATGATTTTTTCCGCTTTGTCCCCCTCACATTTTGGTTCTACCTCTTTACTATCACCAGACATCAATTGTTCTTGATTTGAAATAGATTCTGCTGCTTGAGCAGCTTCTAGGGGAAAACGAACACAAAAAATAAATTACAATCATAACAAATATATATTTAGCAGCCAAATATGAGCCAAACTGCAGTTATCTAAATATGTAGATTGGGCCCACACACTTTTTTCCAAACTTAGGAGACCACCAGGTTTGCAGATCTTAAAACTTACAAAATTTTATCCACCCCTCCCAACAATGTCCCAAGAGGAGGTGAAGGTAAGGGGGGGCAAGATGGGGGAATATTGAAAGAGAAGGGGGGAGGGGGACAGGATGGTTAGAGAAGGGGAGAAGTTGGGAATAATTACAGAGCAAAATTCAGACTTAAACTGAAGAAAATTGGGAAAAGCACGAGGCCATTCAGGTTTGACCTAGATCACATCCCTGATGAATATAGGGCTTCTAATGTCCTGCCCCCACTGGTGGACCTCCTGATGGCACTGGTATTTCTGGCCACTGTGTGACACAGAGTGTTGGACGGGATGGGCCTTTGGCCTGATCCAACATTGGCGTCTCTTATGTTCTTATACAGTAGAGGTGAAGATTAGATTCAAGGGTCTGGTTTTGATAGAGTGCCTGAAGAACTATGGACGGAGGTTCATGACATTGTACAGGAGGCAGCAATAACCACCATCCCAAAGAAAAAGAAATGCAACTAAGCAAAGTGGCTTTCTGATGAGGCTTTACAAATAGCAGAGGAAAGAAGGAAAGCAAAAGGCAAAGGCGAAAAGGAAAGATTTACCCAACTGAATGCAGATTTCCAGAGAACAGCAAGGAGAGATAAGGAGGCCTTCCTGAATGAACAGTGCAAAGTAATAGAAGAAAACAACAAAATAGGAAGGACTAGAGATCTCTTCAAGAAAATTGGAGAAATCAAGGGAACGTTCCATGCAAAGCTGGCCATGATAAAGGACAAAAACGGTAGGGACCTAACAGAAGCAGAAGAGATTAGGAAAAGATGGCAAGAATACACAGAAGAACTATACAAGAAAGACCTCAATGTCCTTGACAAACACGACGGTATAATCACTGACCTTGAGCCAGACATCCTGGAATGTGAAGTTAAATGGGCCTTAGAAAGCATTACTAACAACAAAGCTAGTGGAGGTGATGGTATTCCAGCTGAACTATTCAAAGTCTTAGAAGATGATGCTGTTAAAGTGCTGCACTCCATTTGCCAGCAAATTTGGAAAACGCAACAGTGGCCACAGGATTGGAAAAGGTCAGTATACATTCCAATCCCAAAGAAGGGCAATGCCAAGGAATGTTCAAACTATCGCACAATTGCACTCATATCACACGCTAGCAAGGTCATGCTCAAGATCCTACAAGCTAGGCTTCAACAGTACATGGATAGAGAACTGCCAGAAGTACAAGCTGGGTTTCGAAGAGGTAGAGGAACGAGAGATCATATTGCCAACATTCGCTGGATTATGGAGAAAGCAAGAGAGTACCAGAAAAATATCTACTTCTGCTTCATTGACTATGCTAAAGCCTTTGACTGTGTGGATCACAACAAACTATGGCAGGTCCTTAAAGAGATGGGAGTACCAGACCACCTCACATGTCTCTTGAGAAACCTGTATAAGGGCCAAGAAGCGACAGTTAGAACCGGATACGGAACAACTGATTGGTTCAGCATAGGAAAAGGAGTACGACAAGGATGTATACTGTCACCTTGCTTATTTAATATATATGCAGAGTACATCATGCGAAATGCTGGCCTGGATGAATCACAAGCGGGAATTAAGATTGCTGGGGAAAAGATCAACAACCTCAGATATGCAGATGATACCACTCTAATGGCTGAAAGTGAAGAGGATCTAAAGAGCCTCTTGCTCAGAGTAAAAGAGGAGAGCGCAAAAGTGGGCTTGAAGCTCAACATCAAAAAAACTAAGATCATGGCATCCGGCCCCATCACTCCTTGGCAAATAGAAGGGGAAGTCGTGGAAGTAGTGACAGACTTCACGTTCCTGGGATCCCAGATCACCGCAGACTGTGACTGCAGCCATGAAATTAAAAGACGCCTGCTCCTTGGGAGGAAAGCGATGGCGAACCTAAACAGCATGATAAAAAGTAGAGACATCACCCTGCCAACAAAAGTCCGCATGGTCAAAGCAATGGTATTCCCAGTAGTCATGTATGGCAGCGAGAGTTGGACTATAAGAAAGGCTGAGCGCCGAAGAATGGATTCTTTTGAACTATGGTGCTGGAGAAGACTCTTGAGAGCCCCTTGGACTGCAAGAAGATCAAATCAGTCATTCCTAAAAGAAATCAACCTTGACTGTTCCCTGGAAGGCCAGATAATGACACTGAAGCTCAAATACTTTGGCCACCAAATGAGAAGGGAGCACTCACTGGAGAAGACCCTGATGCTGGGAAAGATTGAAGGTCAAAGAAGACGGGGACAGCAAAGGATGAGATGGTTAGACAGTGTCATCGATGCAACGAACATGAAATTGAGCCAACTTCAGAGGACGGCGGAAGACAGGAGGGCCTGGCGGGAGCTGGTCGATGGGGTCGCGAAGAGTCGGACTCGACTGTGCGACTGAACAACAACAACAGAGAAGGTCATGGGGAGATTGATGGAGAACGGGTGGGGAACACGTGGGGGAGAAAGATGGGTGGAAAAGTGTTAGAAAAGGTGGGAGAGGGAAGGAAGCAAAGGTGTGGGGGGGTAGGATGCACCCGCCCTGCAAGTTTCTAGTGGGTCCCCACTTGTGCATATGGAAAAGCAAATGAGCAAGCAGGCACACAAGCTAACATTAACACCATTATCTCAGTAATTTGTAATGAAGTCATAATGGGTCCAAGAGAATCAGGTTAGTCAAGCTGTAACCTCATGAACAATTTAAAAAAGTGATGGTGCATATTTCTTTTTGGGAACACAGTAATGACCTGCTTTTGCTATTGGAATAAAAGACAGGAAGGAAAGGTGGATGTATTTGTGAGTCAGCTTATTATGAAGAAATACTGAATCCTGTCCAGAGAAAAATAATTGGTTTCTTTACTTATTAGCTGACTGGGGCTATAGACCCAGAATTGCTCATTCATGGATGGGACTTCATATGCAGTTACTGACACCTCCATTAGCAGTTGTCTGTGGACATAGTTCCTCACCCAGCTAGAAGTATGAATGTATACACATACTTCTATAAATACTGTATATGCTAAGTTGGAAGAATTTAAAATGACTTATCCATTAGATTAACATGCTAACATCAGTGTATTAATAGCATTGTTTTGAAGATTGTCCCCCAGTGAAGGGCATTATCACAAACAGTGTTATAACAATGTGCATCAACCTTTTTTTTGCTTTCTTTCTTGCTGCTGCTTCTCTTTGGCAGCTTCCCTCTCCTGCTTCTCATGGGCCTCTTTTAGCATCTTGCATGCCTTCTTGTGCGTAAACCAATGCATTTTCTGGCAGTTTTGATCACAGTAGATCACCTGAGAATGACCAAACAATTTTTTACAAGTCATGAAAACACCAGTGCATATATTAGAACTGTCCAGGGAACAATATGTACCTTCCTACTTTGATGAGGAAGAGCAAACTCTAAACTGATAACTGATTTTAAATCAGGAAATGCAATTCTTACCATTTTGCATGTTGAACACCTTTTGGCTGCTCCCTTCTCCCCACATGTTGTGCAAAACTCAGCCTCCACAAAGCCCATTTGGCCGGTAATGGCTTGTGTCAGTACAGAGAAAGCTGTAGGGTCAGAGCCCTGAGGAATGGGGGGGAAATAATAGTGACTGAATGTTGCAGCAAACTGCACTAATAAAACCATTTAGAAGAGTGTGTCTACAGTACTTGAAAGTATGTGCAGCAAAAAATTGTGTTTGTGGTTGAATATATGGTTTAACAAAAGCAGCACTTTGGGCAGCCCTCAACTGAGCAGTCAGTTTCTTTGCCTGCTGTTTTAACAAGAAAAAGTAAACAGAAATTACTCTGAGATCAGCTTGGCAGAAGATGAACTAGTGATGGCATACTAGCTATAAAATGATGCACCATAATTTGCTTATATCCTTAAAATTTACAGTGAGCAATTTCCATCTTGAGTAGGAAGAAAATGGTGAGATGCTTACTATCTTTAGAAGAAATAAAAGGACATCCTTATAAGAGGAATGTAATAAGCCTTATTATATGAATTCTGTGCAAGAATTGCATTGCCAATGTTTATTGCAAGAACACAAAATAGCAAGGCTTTTTTTGAATTTCCCATCATCAGTACGCAGTCAAGACAATCATAACAATACACACAACTTCACTAACAATATTGATTCCATTTTGTCTCTCCATCCTGCTCCCCCCAATTTTCCTGTTTTACAGGATTTGTCTTGTTACTGTTGAAAGATGTGACCTTTGCATTTATAGCAATTTAGGAACAGTGTACCATTCAGACTGATAATAAAAAATCCAATGAACTCTGTTTGATAGTTTGTACTTTTTTTCAAATTACAGTAAAGGAGCTTTTTTAAAAAAAATCTGATTTTCTCTTTTTTTGTGATGAAATATGGAGAGGAGGGGACTGCATGATCTCAAGTGAAGATACTGGTTGTGGCCTGAGAGTACAGTAGCAGCAGCACCAAGTTGGTTGCATTAAGCAAGTTCTAAAGAATAAGCAATGGCTTACATCACAGTTGGGCCACCAGGCTTCTCCACAGTCATCACTTCGTTACAGACCCTTCAGAAAGCAAAATTACATCCCAATTTTACCTTTTAATTACTGGGAAGACTGCTCTTTTAGTCTACCATTTAAGACCACCTTATCACAAAAGATACAGGGGAGAACAGATTCACCTGCGTGTTGCGCATTTCAGGTGCTTTGCTAAGCAGATACAAAGAAAAATGAGCTGTTCAATCCCAGACACTCACAATTTCAACTGGAGCAATGCTTCTCACAAGCTGCTGGAGCAATGTAGCTTCACAGTAAGGAAATTTTCGAATGCACTCTCTGATGAGTTTCTCTTGATATACTGGAAAACCATCTTTATCTCTGCCTTTTAGTAGGCTGAAAGTATCAGAGCAAGAAATGATAACAAAAAGTCATGGTTTTACTACTAAATACTTATTTTTCCATTGTTTGTAGCCCTCACTGGCCACCTTCCCTGCCTTATAGTAAATTGTAGGCCAAGATTCAGCAGTCTAGCTGGATGTCTACAGCATAAAAGAAAAATTGCCAATACATTTGTATGCAACATTTACAACTTGTTAGATTCAGATGCAATGCAAGACCATCAATTTTTATTAGAAGAGTAAGCCTTTGATTCA